CCTGCTGAGCAATTCATACACATGCACTTCCCAGGGAGTTTGCAGCGAGAGAAACACTACAACATGCTGCAGTATCAGATTTGCTCCTCCTCTCTGGCTAAGATTTTTCGGTTAATAATCTCCAATAAGGAAAAATTGCATATTGAAGAATACTCTGTGTCTCAAACAACTTTAGATCAGGTGAGTGAAAAATAATGCTTCTTTGAGAAAACCTGTCTGGTGAGAATTGGGCAATGCAGTGGGGATGTATCCAAACAACTGAAGGACCAGATTGGTCAAAGTAGAGAATTATCTCACAGTTCTTTCTCAGGCAAAATTCTCAGACCCCTCATCAAGGGGGGTGGATCAGTTATGAAAGTTGTAACTAATTCCCTGTGTAAATAGGTGTTATTTAAAGGTGATAAAATAGCATTTCCCAGATGCTGGAATTCCCACAATCCATTCCTTCAGGAGCAGCAGTCTGAGCAAGGTCAGCTCTTCAGAACGAGGTTTGCTAAGCTGGGAGTAAGATTTTATTTTAAATAACATATTTGGACTGTGTTGTGTCAGACATACTGTTAAATCTAGTTAAATATTTATATGTTTCTGTCATGCACTTTTATACAGGAGCAATCACACAAAACCTGGAAAGTTCACTGGGACTTTTGGCATCCCCCAGTTGCTGGAGGGTATTAGCCCCATCTGCTTGCTTTCCTAAGTAGCTGAGGGTCCACATATGCAAAACTGTCTTTGGTTGTGCTAGAGAGACATTCCGGGCTGCCTTACAGCTTCCTACTAAAATATTCTGTCTCCTCTTTCCCATCACAACCACTCACTTATGTTGCGCAAGCCATGCAAACCTTGCTGAACCCATCTCCTGCTTAAGAAAAAACAGGATTTCAGTTTTTAAGTGCATGCAAAGGAAGGAAGTTACAAGGAAGCTTATGAAAATAAAGAAATTAACGATGCCTGCAGATAAGCAGTATCTTAGTTCAGTTCATGTCTATGGATTCCCCTTTCTGTCTCTTCCCTGCAGAGGGGCCACAAAGATGCAAATATACAGAGACACTGACACATCTCAGTCGATGAGATGGTGACATTTTCTGCTTTCCTCACACAGGTTTTTGTGAACTTTGCTAAACAGCAGATTGAGGATGAGGAAATTCCTTTGCATCCCCGTGCAGCTGGAGCCAACCAAGAAGCAAAGGTGTCCCCTGCTTTTCATCAGCAGACAGCTGCATAGACTGTTCCTACAGCCACTAGCGCTTAGAGTGCACAGTGCAAAGATGTGCCATATCAGGGCAGCACAAGGGTAAAACAAAGGTTCCTGCACTCAGTATTACACTGATTTTTTTGCACCTTTCTGAGCACTTTGCTCACAACAACAGCCCTAGAAATAGCAAACCTCTGCTGCTCTACCAGGAACACAACATGCTGAAAGTGTCAAAGGAAAGGCAGGTCCTTGCTCTAGAACAAAATCTTCTGCTAACATGAAGTTGCATTGTAAGATACAAGAAGAGTCTCATTCCTCCTTGTTGACAGGAGTGTTAAAGACAGTTTCTCTATCTGGTCCTTTCAGGCTGGTAGGTTTTCCTTGTTTAACGCTTAAGTCAACTTCTACCAGTCAAAAGTCAGGTCCCAAAGTAGAGAGCATTGCCCAGCTTAGACATGGATTCCAGACATCCTGAGTGCACAGGACTACCAAGGTCAGAACATCAATGCTGGCAGACTGCTTCACTGTCTCACCAGGCTGCCAGTGAAAACAGACGGTTGTCTCAGCAAGAATGGGAAGAATTAATTCAGATCTCAGACCCAGGCAAGAAATTTGCTTTAAAAAAAAAAAGAAAAAATTCTTAATGAAAATGATCTCACACTTATCTTCAAGTTTCTCAAATAGAAGCAGAATGTCAAAATGGAGATTAAAAGGAAAAAGAGTATCTCCAAAGCAGCCAAAAGTTTTGCTTTCTCATGGTGGCCTGGAAAGATATCTTTGTTACTACAACAAGCTAAAATTTTTCTTCTTTCCCTGTGACTGGACCTTAATTGGGCATAAAGTGTGGATGGAGTATGTACTTTATCTGTGCTCAGAAGGAAAATTTCAACCTGCTTGGACTCCACACTGCACTCAGTGGGAAATCATTTGACATTTAGCCCTTTTCTCTGGTTCACAGTTAAACTAGTGGAAAATTATACTACTGAAAACAAATTAATTATGATATATTGCTTCAGTTATCTACCAGATTTAACCATTTCTAAGAAATCTTCTCTCATATTTTGTACAGAAATAAAATCTGGGTCATATATTTTTGTTTAGTTAGGTTTTTTTTCTTCAATTGGTGTAATATTTTTTTTAATATAAGGACATTCTTGCTTTTTACTGTACAAAATATTACAAAACTTCAGCAACAAGCATAGTTGTCTTTTGCCATAATTATTTCAACTCATTTAAAAACAGTCTAGAATTTATTGAATATTTCATCCTTACAAATAGTTGCAAAAATCTTCCTATAAATCCACTATAGATTAATAAATTAATAATTAAACAAAACAGTATCTACGTATTCTCTTCATATTCTAAACCAGCTTCTTTAAAATGTCATTCAGAAAGATTGCTGCAGTCTCTTTTTTACTAGATTTGCACAAAACCCAACCAAGTCCCACTGAACATCTTGTGGAAAAGAAAACACAGGAAGTCCAAAATGTAGCTGATTTTTCTCCCTGGCTTTGAAAATAAGAAGGGAGCTAGTGTTCTGAAGACTGAAAGTCACTTCATGTATTTACAAGCGTATTGATGATTATTCATATAATACTGACATAAAATGCTAGATAAAAGGTCCTTTAGTATCACATGGACTTGTTATATGAAAACAAACCAAATATCACAGATACAATATAGAGCAGATCTTCCAAACCTTATTTACTATTATGCAATTTCCTAATGAAGAATACTAAAAACAAACAAAAAAAACCAACAATGCAGCATGTTACACCCAGAAATATTACAAATATTTCTTACTTCAGATTCTTTTTGCAAATTAGGGGTTACACCCAAATCAGGTATTGAGATATTGCCTATTTCTTTATTCCAGGAAACATTCATATTCTTTGGTAGTGTTATTTGTTCCAAAGCACCTGCCTCCAGGCAGCACATACTCTTCTTCAAGTCAAAGAAGGCACATCATGCAACTGTCTTCAGGCCAGCTGGCCATGCTGGCTGAGCTGAGCTCTCTAGTAGTTAGCTAGTATGTCCTCATTCCAATGTACTTATGCCTTGCAGAATGCCACTGCTAAATCTGGAGTTGCTTTTCAGCACAGGCTTCTCAGTATCTCTGATCCATCAATCTAAATAGACTAGCACAGGAAAACCTCAGTCAATCAGGTTACAGTGAACTGCAGTGGCTTTTGACTACCAGCTGTGCAATGAAGCCTTATTTTTTTAAAGTGCTCTGAGCTGAGAATTCTTGAATGTAAGAAAGTGTAGTGCATACAGTTTTCCTTAGCAGTGGAGATTCAACATGCACCAAAATCCTTTAAATTAATTCACTTATTTGGCAGGAGGTATATGAGCTTTTCCTTCTTGAAGTTCCATGCAATGTTCAAGTTAAACTTTTTTTTTTTTTTTTTTTTATAACAAAAAGGGAATAATTGGCATTCGAAGACTTGGATAATCCTTGAATTCTCGTAGGTAGGTGCAGTGTTTATCCTTTGCCCAGATTGTCATCTGAATGAAGCAAAGCAAGGTGAAAAGCCCCACTGAAAAGAAGGGAGAAAAAAATACATTTCAATGTCAAATTAAAACCCTACTCTTGTTACTGACATCAGGGTGAAGTACCAAAACATTACTCACCTGGAACACACTGAGTCATGATAGTGAAACTGATCCAGGTCCCCACCTGTTTTGGCCAAGGAAATTTAAAATATTTCTGGTGACAGCATTTGCATTTATGTCTCTATTGATCAAAAATAACTTTGTCCTAGTATAGGTAAATAAAAAGCCAAGGTCAGCCAGATCCATTTCTAATGTTAATAATCTTTAGCCAAAAAAGTGAACAGTGCCTTACCACAAACCAAACCTTTTTGTTTTCTTCCGTAGTTACCATCATGACAAAATGTTAAACTTTACAATACAGTGCCCTTCCCATTTCTCTGACTGATCTGTTTGTCACGCCTCCATCAGTGCAACTTTCTGTAGCCTCAGGCCAAATGCTGTTCTCATCAACATCTGTTAATCTCCACTGAAGTAAAAACCTGTCATTGTCCTCTGTGCAAGACTGAATTTTACAGAGTTGTACTGCTTTTAACTGCTTTTGAATGAAGTCTGGAATTTGGCTTCTGTTTAAGGAATATGAAACAATAAACTTATTCAAGCTTTTAAAGCAGTCACCACCAACACAAGCAACTGTGTAACTTAAGAAAACGGGGAAGACAACCTAGGTCTATTTCCTTTTTTCTCTACCACAAGATCTTCTATTCATCTGCTCACTGTCTTCCTGTGTACTGTGATATTCCTGGGCTCTCTTACATTATAAAACCCCCAGATGCCCCCATCCCCTCACTGCAGCATACAGTTAGTGGGAATCTCCATGTTCCTGTCTGCAGAATTTGCACTTCTTGAAAGGTATCTGCCTTGTCTACCAGCCACACTGGAGCACAGGTGCAGGAGCTGGGCTGTCACTTTAAGGCTAGCCCCGTAAGTACTGCCTAAAGGGAGGAGAGGAAGAACAGACAAGTTCCTGTTGGCAATCTCATTTCATGGGATTTAGGGGAGAGGGGAAATTTATTGATCTGAACTTTTTCAGAGGTCTCTTTCATATACAATATTTCCAAATAAATGAAAATATATTCAGCAAAACTAAAATTTTAACATCTTGTTTGAAAATACATACCTCATATGTATAGTTAGGGCAAGATACAAAGACAAACAGCCATGTGAAAGGATTCTTTGTTGGATATGGGATCTTACGGAGTTTGGATCCTATAGATTAGAAGACAAATCACAAAATATTCACACTCCTAAATATATTGTTTACTATAAAGACAACCCAACTCTTCCTAGTCATGTGTCTCATCGGTGTTAGAGGGACAAGCAGGATGTGGGAAAACAGGATGTCCTCTGGACCCACAAGAAAGGAATAGGGTAATTGTGAGGAAATGTTCAAGGCATTAGAATGTCATTGATATATGCCTTTGATCATAGTCACTCCTGTAACAAGAGGTACCTCAAGTTTTAGATTTAGAAGTTAAAGATTTTCTCAGATTGTCACAGAATGGTATTTTAGCAGTCATAATAGAGAGCTGTAAGATTTTGGCTTGTGCCCAAGGAGCCCTGGACTCGACAGAGATCTTGTGCTCCTGTAGAAGCCAGTGAAATTACTTTCCTTTGCTCACCAAAACATAGCTTATGCTAGCACTGTTTCCTTCTGCATTACTAGTGTAACTAATATAACTGCTCCCTCCCAAACAATTTGGCCCTAACCAGTAAAAATTCCAGTAAGACAACAAGTGTTTTTTAACAGTCTGGTCTCCTTGCACTGTCTTGTCTCCCCTGGAATCCAACCTTTACAGCACTGAGTGACTCACAGGAGTCAGCTGGTGGGTATCAGTGCCCCTCAGGATCAAGTCTTTCATGAGACAGAGTAACTGTAGAAGCACTAAATGGCTGCACAAAAGTGAAAAATTATTATGCAATTTTTACCACTTCTCTGGAGGTCACTGAGTGCAACATGAATGGAAAAATTTCCAGCTTCACACAGCTGCAAGGAAAAGCATAACAGAGTTAAAAATGTGCTTCCCTTCTATTTACTCTTCTTTCTTTTGTTATTTCCTGGGGTACTTAAAACAATAATAATCTATTATAGACATAATAAATATCTTTAACCATGATTGGTGTCTGACAGGAAGATGGAATATCTTTGTTTAAATGTGATTCCATATAATACTCATATAATTATTATATTTGCCAGTAAATGTGGACACAGTGTCCAAAAGATCAAATTTACTTCTTACAAAAGCCCCCTGAAATCTAAAGGCAATAAACCAAAGGGGATAAAACTAAGTCCAGGAGATAGTTGCTTTATATTTTGGTTATTTTTATGTCTTTAAAAACACCCCAAAATTACTTTAGATTCTTCTTGGTTTCTCAGAAGTTATTAAAGTCCCAAGGAAGATATGGGTTGGACTCTGAGTAAGTTTTCTTCTTAGAGTATAATCGATATGAATCATGAAATGTAATTGACCTAGCTTCCTCCACTGTTTTAAAATAATGCTTCTCCAGTCAATTATGCAGAAAGGATATTGAAATGACCCAGTCATTTCAATACTCATCCAGAGTCTGCAAAGCACAGCTATTAAAACTTCTGCATGTATGAGATGTTCCTAGGAACTGTGAGAATGAGCGACAGAATTTTGCTTTGTAGAAAAGCTGTACATAATTTCTGAAGCCCAGCAAAATGAACCTCTTTCCTTGGAAATTATCATCAACATACTTTCTTAGTTGACCAGTTCTCTGGGTTTTATGACCTGTTGTGATTCTTAATACTTAATTAACTGCTCACAGAACAAACAAACTCACTGGCTTTTCAACACAGTGTCACAAACTGGTAGTTCTAGGATTCTTTTACAGATTATGACAGATCATCCCAGCAGACAGATATCCCAGTCTCCAAAGGGATACTGAATCAAAATCTTCCCTTGTGCACAAGATCACATTAAAAACAGATTTATCTGTTCTGTGTGCCAGTGCTCAGCTTTAGTAGTATGTCCCAAGTGTTCAAGTTTTGAGTATCTGCACATCCTACTCACTCCTCCACTTACACTACACAGGAAATAAAGCAACATGTTTTCACATTTTATAAAAAAGCAACAAACCTACCAGAAACATGATCACAGCAAAATTTATCTGTTTTTTCCCATAAGCTAAAAAAAAAAAAAAGAGAGTTTTACATATGATTAATAGTAATAGACAACTATGTAAGTACTTAAATCACATTGAGGGCTGTTTTGCTACTTACAAGGAGGAGTGTAAAGAGGATGATTGATGTAATAAGCAAGCCAAGCTGCAAATCCCCAGTAATACAAGCAGTTCTGGAAAACAGGGAATTTTATTTGTTTGTTTTAATACAGTCTTCTAGGCCAGTATTCCCCACAAGGACTGCAGATAACAATGAATAGAGCTGATCAATACAACAAAAAATGACAATACTAACTGTGGTAAGGTGGGAGCAGACAACAGGAATTAACAGGAAGGAAATAATGCTCATAGAATAAGATTTCCACTCACGTATCTTGGAGCTGTTAAGTTTATAAACAGTTTTAGAAAATATGATAATACTATTTAAACAACCTTATGTTGTCTGGCTTGCCATTTGGCCAAATATGAAGTACCATACAGACTGTGTGTTAAAGAGAGACTTGTTTTGCTAACCCCTGAGACTTCATTAAACCAGATTTAGGCATTGTGCTCTCTTCCCTGCCTATTTGTATTGCCCAGTGTCTTGCCTTTCCTCTTCTTCACCCTGTTAGTCTTCTTCCTTTCCCATGCTTTAGCTTTTCCTACCTAAAGTCATCATGCCTGACACTTCCCTCTGCCGTTTCATTGTCAAATCTTTAGTTTGTCCTCTTAGGTGCTGTCCTTGGCTTTCTGTGATCCAGCTTCCATTCTCTAAACTCTGATAACATATCTGTCACTAATGGATGTACTGACTCATTCCTGACCAATCTTAGAACTTGTTCAAAGGTTTCATCTATGAAAAAAACTACATACAACAACAATCTCTATCTCCTGTTCGATTTTCTTGGCTCTGCATGTTGTGTTTTTTCTTCTGATCCTGATTGCTGCTTTGGTATCTTGGTGACAGGTTATATTCTACCTTCTCAGATATCTGTAGGTAGGAAGGAGGCCCTTTCTTGGCCCATTCCTCTTCTTCCTCAATGCTCTCACCTCTAGGTGCCACTCTCTTGCAGACAGACTTTAACCCTTCTCAGCAACTCATAAATTTCCCTCTCACCAGGTGTGATTTCTTCCTTTATCCAACCTAGTGCCTCAGTTTTTAAGGTTTTAGGGCATGTTTTGTTACCACTTGGACTTCAGCAAGACCAAAACATCATTCTTTATCTTCCTTTCACCACTTCTCCTGTTCTTTCCTCCCCTTTTCCTTCCCTCCTATTTTTACTCTTTCTGGTGATGCTTTTTCCTTGGCCTTCCAATAGGTTCACATACCTTAGACATTTCTAGGTCTTTGTGCTTTCTCCTTCACAGCTTTCCTTTCCTGCTCACACAGACAAAATCCTTATTCAAGGCTGCATTCTTTCCTTTCCTGCCTGGTTTAACTTTTCTTTTTTTTTTTTTTCTTTTTTTCAGTTTTGCAGCCTTTTTCTCCTATATATACCAGAACTGCATTTCTAGCAGTAATACTCCGAAAAGTGATTACCTCAGCATCTGCAACCCACTCTAGCTGACTGCAGTGTCTGACAGTGCATTTTTCTGAAAATGCTGGTGAAGGGTAAGCCCCCCCCATCTGCTGCAAGCAGCTGTATCTAACATTTAGTTGCATATCTCTTTCTTTTCAGAGTTAATTGAATCACTGAAGTGCCCAGAGATCTCAGATAAAATGGGCACCCTTTTGGGTATGCTGTAATACAAGCACATAATATATCCTTGCTCTGAGACTATGTGTAAATAGATAACCAATGAGAAAGAGCAAATTATTAACCACAGTTACAGATCAAGTGGGGAAAAAAGGGTAGAGAGATTTAGTAACTTCCCTGTAATGACTTTCCTTTTCCCCAGGAAAAGTAGCAGAGCCAGAAGATTAACTCCAAGGAACAATAACCTAGTTAGTGTCCTATGAATAAACTGTTGCTTGCTCCCTAAAACTAGCTTCTTCCACCATCTCCTAAAATTTACCAGCTGCTGTACAAACCTAGGTGCAAGCAATTTCTTGTAATCTTGGAATTGCATCTTATGAAAAGCCTTTTCCCTATTTTTGGGGCTTGGCACAGGATGACAATGGATTTCAGTAAAGTAAAAATAATAAATCATCATGGCTCAGCTCCCAACAATACATGTTGTAATTAAACTGAACAGGTACTATTCATCCAAATAACATGATTTACTGTAAGAGTATTTCTCAGTTATAAGAAAAGGAGCTTTAAGATGAGTGGAGTCTGCCACTGCTAAGGTCCAAACAAATATCCAGCTGCCCCTAGAAGCCTTATTGCTCATACAAAAGCCTCCAGTAAGGTTCAGATAGGAACAGCAGGGTACATGCAGACTTCATAAATTTTCTGTGAATCTTTCGTATTTCAGGTGAATAGTAAAGCTTTACAACAGTCTCTTGTAAAAAGATGTTGTGGATCAAGATCAGATATTGCAGGGATCCCAAAATAAATTATTCCTGAGTTTACAAAGTTATGGTTAGGATTTTTGTCTTCTCTAGTGCAATTGATGATCTCTATGATGATCAAAACTATTTCTTAATGCCCTACCTCTGTTTATTCATGGCCAGCATGTAGCCCTCTATTTGTCCTGTTATATTCTGTTACGGTTAAAATGATATTTCTTTAGATCTAGAGTTTCCTTTCCTGCAGAGTTCTTTATAGAAAGTGACAAGATCTCTTTTTTCACTCATGGAAATATTCACTAAGACCAGACATAAGACTAGTCTTTGAGGAATTCCTCTGGAACCTCCCTGTTATTAAAGATCTGACAGATCCCTTTCTGGCACAACCACAATCATCTTTCCTTCTGTTAGTTCCCTTTCACCACAACTTTTTTGTATTAATCCCTATCACCCAAGCCAAGTTAGCACTAAGTCAAGATAAATCAGGTATTCTACTTCCCATTGCCTAGAAAGTCATGTATCTTGAAAAGAATTCTACTGTGTTAGTATATAGCATGAACTGCTTTTGGTGAGCCCCTGCTGTGTCTTACAGCATCATGTATTCCTATTTCCATCTGCTGAACAAGGGATGAAAATCACAAATCTGATCAATTCCTGTCTCAGATCTCTGCTTATTGAGACTGAAGTGTCTCTTGTTAAAGCACTTTACATTGCGCTTAGGAAATCAGCCAACTAGATCTCCCAAGTATGTGATCAAGTGTGTAAAGTAAGAAGATTTATCTACCATTTGTATGTGAGAGAAAAAAGGAAAGAGGATGTGATATTTTTCTCACTGGACAATTTTGGAGCAACACCACCAAAGTCAATGACATTATAAAAGCAAACCAAACCCAAGCACTGCGAAGCGATCAGATGAACTGAAAGCGACATTACAAATGAAAGCAAGTACCATCGACCTGAGAAGGTGGAAGAGTAGAAGTGATCAAAATTACTGATACAATTGTCAATTTTAGCAACAAAGGTTTGTGTGGTCTGAAAGGAATGAGTAGTCATCAGAAGTGGCAATGAGAAAATTAAGATTGATCACATTGTACAGATTCTTTTTCAAGGTAAAGTTGCTCATTTATCTGCTGTTTAACATGTATTAGCTGTTATTGTGTCAAGAAACAAGTCTTTAAATGATCTGCTGGCCTCTTAACAACACTTTCTCTGAGGGCCACTGCTCAGCCACAGTCCCTCCTTCCATTTAGAAAGCGTGAAGCTATCACCAGAGCCACTGCACAGCTATAAGGAGTTTGCCACAAGGTAGAGCATCAGCTGCTGGGAGTATCCCTGCCAGAAATGCTGATACTGTACTGTACACTTTTCCAGTTGTAGACAATAATCTCCTGTCTTCCTAAATATAAAACTTTTTTTAATGTCACTGTGTACTCTGTTGCAAACCGTTGTAAAATAACTACAGCCCATGCAGTACACTGTGCTACTTTGAAGGCATCTAGGAAACAGAGGGTCTGCATCTCTATGCCACAGCAGCACTAGTGACATGATGGAGTGCTCCTGCAGAAGAAAGTGCAGAACAACGAAACTGCTTTGCACTTGTTCAAAGGTAAATTAACTATTGCTTAACAGCAAAGACAGTGTTAGGGGTAAAGATGTAGTAAAATGGCTGTTACAAAAAGTAATTCTTTAAAAACAAAAAAACAACCCTCCCAACATTGTGCTTGCCTGTGCTATCTTTAAAATTTGGATTGTTAGCAAAACCTTCATGGCCAAGGAGCTATCTGAGTGAGAAGGAAGGGTATGTTCAAGGTTTAAAAATCTGAAAGAGCAATGAGAATACTATAACATGCATAACAGTATGGCAACATGTGGCTCATACAGTAGCAACATTAAGAAATATTCTGAAAGAACTACAGCTTTATGGGTAAGATTTGCTGTGCATTATTATAAAAGCCACACCAAAAAATCTGTGCTGCAGTGGCAGAGCATAGGTTGGCTAGGTTGGATTTGTAAGGAAAGCTATGGGTAGATTCTGACAAAATTTACCTTCACAATATTCCTCAGTGGCATAGTCCCATGGGAGAATCGATGAACAAATACTGTTTCAATCAACCTTTTGATGTAGTGGAAAGAATGGCAGATACATGCCAAGCTAGAAACAGCAAGACAAAAGCATTTAAGAGTGCTTAAAGAAAAAAGTGCAGCAAGACATTTGGAATAAGACTACAATGCTAACAAGAAATATTGCTCAAGCCTGCAAATGGACTTACTTAACTACTGGATGTGGACTTGATGTAAACCTCTCATCCAGTCCATAGACAAAAGGCATGCGGAAATAAAACAGAAAATAGATGAACAATGGGCCTGTATATTCTATCAAAAATACCTGCAAAAAGAGAAAAAATAATTAGAGAGCTGAATTAGGTGGTGGGTTTGCTTTGGTTTGTGATAACTAATGCAGAGGGATAAACAACTCCACTGCCCCAGGATGGCATTTGGAGAGGCAGGAAGGGACAACCAGGTTTGGGCTGGGGCTGTGAAACTCACAGACATGCAGGTAAATGTTCTGCAATGCGTTTGCCTCTGTTGCATACAAACAGCCATGGCCAGTGCAGCTGAAACAGTATGGGTATGAAAATATCATAATGGCAGCCCAGATATCATGAGAAATATGCACATATGTTACATTTATGCAGCTCTCATCCTCCTCTTGCCTGCAAAAACTGTTGCTTTATTTTGGGATAAAATGAAATTTGATGAAGAATTTATCTTGAAAAAGATACGGTTTGTAATGAATTAATTTTGTTTACACTGGAAACACAGCTTGTAAGTGTTCACAGGTGACCCCATCTGTATGAACAGTTAGTACAGCAGATGTCATGGGACACAATCAGTTCATTCTATGTTCAAACAATCTTTTGTAGAAAGGAAAAAGACAAAAAAGGGAGATAGAGAAAGAAACCCAAATACGCTCTTATCTAACTTGATTTAATTTCAGATAGCCATGTATTTATTGGAAAACGTGGAAACGTAACTTTAAACTGAGTTAACTTTGGACCAAACATTAAGAGTTGAATTTTCCATACTTCTATAAGTGAGGAAGGTAGGCCCATACCTCGTGTATGAAGAAAGAAGGATTGTATTTCTGTCAAAAAAAAAGATAAAACACAAGAAAAAAAAACACAAAAAAACCACATCAACCAGGAACCACTGTTTTCTAATGTGTTTAGAGTTATTTTGACACTGAGAAAAGTTGTTACTGACTTCTGTAAAAATGAGCATTTTCTCTGGTGGAGATTGGATTTGATTGCAGATTGCCATTTTGATTTGATAAAACTGAAGTATTTAATGGCTTACATTTAATGAAGTAGCTTGACAGGCAGAGAATGCAGAATGTAAAGGAAAGATTATGGAATGGTAGAAGTCTGGTGTTACTCTGCACTGTGGCATTCTGGTATATATTAATGCATGTGTGTCTTGGAGTCTACATTGTCATTAGAATTTTTTGCCTGTCTTACTTTTTTTTGGGTTGTGTAATAGCTGCCTGATTTATCAGCATTTCACCTAAAGTAATGATGTGAAAATTTGGTCTTGCAGAGTATTTGACTTTTTTATTTTACCTCTTATGAATGTCGTCTTCACTATTTGTCATTAGCACAAGATTTTATGAAGGTCTCATAGCTAAGAAATGTTAAGTATGCCTTAAAGTTATGGGGTACTTTTCCCTTCAAGATGTGTTGTTTCATTAGAACGGGTATAATATGTGTATCATGGACTTTATGAAGAACTGGAAAGGTCATTGGTCACCCCACTGCATAAATAGCAGGGCTGAGTTGCCTGCTGAGTGAGGTGTGACAGAAGTTGTATTTAAGCTAAGGTAGTAAACGTGCGAGGTCTTTGTGGATGGCTACTAATTCTGCAGAAACAAGCCACTGTCATTAGGCTGCCACTAGTGCCCTGGGTCACAGCCTCATGCAGACAGCTAACTGATTTTTTTCATGCATTTTCCTTTTGTCACTAAAATTACTGACATGTGAAGTTGCCCACATGTCTCTTTGCAGGACAAACTCATGGGTGTATAATTCTGGTCTTTGTCAGGAGAGTTACATGGGCCCTGTGAACCAGATCCTTAAAGGCATTTAGACACCTAGTTCTTAGTGACTTTGCAGTAGACATCTAAATTCATTTGAGAACCTGCACCTTGGTTCAGTCGAGCCAACTTACTCCAAAGCAAGTTTTCATCAGCTGCTCTCCCAGGGAACTAGACATTCAGAATATTCTGTTACTACTTTCCCTGATTAAATGAACTGAAGCAATGAGGATTCACTGCCTGCATTCACTATTAGAGGAGGCATCATGCAGAAATACTGAAGAGACAAAACATGATGTAAGCATTAATTATGGAAAAATAGCCATAAAAATGGCTCAGACTTGAAGCATAGCTCACCGTAGTCCATCCTATCTGTGGCCCTAAATCTTTAAAGTATAAGGTAGCAGTTGTGCCAACAGGGAGGTGCTGCAGGATTTCCTCATCCCTCAGGGACTTTCCTTCTGAGAAGGAAAGAATTACATCTCAGTGAAATTCCAATCAACTTTGGTAGCATACTAGCTTTAAGCTGTGCTTTAACTAATCTGTGAGAATCTTTGATGAGACCTAGGTTTCTTGGAATCTCAATAAACAACTAAGAATGTTTATATTTCACTTTTATTTATCCCTGTAACCACATGTAAGCCTGGACCCTCTTCTCAGCAAGACAGAACTCTCAGTCCTGAGTGTCTCCCTACTCTAGTTGACTTGGCTCATCACTGCTACAGCAGCATTTGTTGCTGGGTCACTGCCCTTCAACATAGTTCACTGGCCCCTTAGTCAGCTGCACCTCCATCTCTCTCCTCTCTCTCTCCTCTTTTTATTGCTCATCATCAGACAAACAGAAACTAGGATAAGATGAGGTTGGAATGCGCTCCTACAGAGGTTTTCATTGCCTCCTTTTTCTCCAACCAGCCACCTAGGAGGCAATTCCACAGGACTTGTACTAGTGCTTAAGCTTTTAACGCCTAGATGCTCCAGAAAGCCAGCATTTTCTCACAGTAGGTCTCACAGCAGAAGTCCATGGAGGAATCTGACAAGGTAGATCTTTGAAGATATTCATATGCCTGTTTTCTAAGGACAGATTCTACACAATGAACTATGTTCACCAGCATAATTTTAAGGGACTGTTTAAATAAAATTTTGCTTAATGGAAACAAAAGAAGAAAGTGCTACCTTTTATCCTGAAAACTACAACAAATTAACACAGTTTGGCTATTAGACTTTCTTTTGTGCATCTAGGCCATGTACTAAGAGGCTCCTAGTAGCAACATCTACAACTGCATTAAGTCAGCCAGCTGGCATCAACTTTGTCAGCAAATCCTGCATCCATGGCAATGTGTTTTGCATTGGCTTACCTCAAAAGAACTGTAATTCCTGTCTGAGAGCACAAGATTATGTGAACTGATAGCTCTAACATGTAGCCCATTTTAGTACTCCCAGCTGAACATCACTGTAGAGATCATTTCATTCCAGCTAAGGGAAATTACTATTAGATTCTGTGCTGCTTGTCTTCAAAGCAAAAGTGCTCAGTAGTGCATTGGAACAATGTGCAGGCTCCTGAGTTAATTACCAAGCACCAGTTACATGGATGGAACTCTGTTTGATTTGGCTTGATTCTCTTCAGCTCTCACAATCTTAATTAATATAGCTGGAAACTCAATTCTTAAGAGCAAATACTCGTGCAAAGGATACCTTTTATGCCAGGCCCCTGCTCAGAGCTTTGTTACTCTACTCCTCTCAAGTACTTACTTGGATCAAGTTTTATCGACTGCCTTGCTGGATACCACTGAGGATCTGTAAGACCACATAGAATTGTGTGACATACAATGCTTGTTTTAGATCATCCACTATTACAATAAATGCAACACAAAAGGTAAGGCTTAGTTGACGATTTTTAGGAATATTTATTCAACATTAATATCTGTGAGAAATTATGCAGCCAAAAAATACAGAGGGGGATCAGGACAGTATAAAAAATGATACTGAAATCTCACTGTGACCACATTAATGTGCAGGTTACTTAGCATAATTGTGTGTACACCACATGCTTCAAATTATGTAATTTTCTCCTATTTATATATTGGATATTCTGATGTGATGTGAACTGCTGCGAAAGTTATACTCACATAATTTATGGAACATAAATCTGATCTCCCTAATTGTGGCATTTGCTTCCACCTAGGCAATAAAAAATAATGTATATGTAAGATGCATATTTTGAAAGACAACTACTGGGTGTAAGACAATACAAGTAGAAATGTGACTCAAACTGTAGTAACTATCTTACAGATGACTAGGATCAGTATGGGTGATTCAAAACACTTCGTACAGGAAAAGGGAGCACAATTTGTGGCATTTGTTTAGAAGCTTCTCTAGCAGAGATAAAGAGTTACCACAACAGCAGTGACAGCTTGATGGCTTATGAGTGAGTAAGGCAGAACTGGCACCATCTTAATGAAGTAGCTGAAGTTGTGCTTTTTGTCCAAAAGATCCTTCTGGAGAAGGGTTTAAGTACTCTGTAGTCAGTATGAACTGTGCATAGTTGTTGCTTCTTCAGTGGCCAAAGAAAGGCTATCAAGGGATGAAATGCCCTTCATTAGCACTAAGTTTTCTTAATAAAATTTATTTATTTTTAAATAGTTACCTAGCATTTGAAACAGATTTTTGTTTTACCTTATCTAGGAAGCATAGCTGTTTCTTTGTCTTCGAGTCAAGGATTTCCACCTGACAGGACACAAAATGATAATTACTAATTATTGGTTAAATAATCTCTAAACTCTTGATTGATTCCCAAATGCACAATCATGGTTTAGAGTGAGATGCCATTTTTCTCTGCTCTGTGAACTGCACTCAACTGGCAAAAAATTAATATTCTTGCCAAATAAATTGTCTTCCTGGATATATTCAGAAGCAGAAGTAGCTAACTTATGGGTTAAAACACATTGATCTGGGGTATTTTCTTTTGCTACAGCAAAAGGAACAAATAAATGATCGAGAAATTTCACAGGAATCACTAAGGAACAGAATTTTTATTTGTAAAACTAGAAAGACAATTTGAGAAAAAAACACTAATTGTGCATGTATATGCATGTGAGCAAATATTCTGATTACATGCAGCTTGAAGATTAGTGTGCATTATTCCCAGAATATTTGAGTTGTAAAGAGAGTGGAAAACATTGGCAGACATAATGAACAGAAGCAGCTTAAGATCTGGACTTCACAAATCCCTACGATGTTGTTATCGAAGTAATTCAGTGTTGCTCTTGCCTCTCAGATGACCTGTACTAGTAACTACATACTCATTTTATATTCCAAGCAGTGGTTTAGCTACAGCTCTGCAAAGGAAAGAGCAGTTTATTTCCATGATCAAATGGCACTTTGGCAAAAGGTTATTTCAATCAACAGCCAAGCAGAAAAGTCCCCAGACATTTCAAAGCCCAGTTGTAACAGGCTAGCAAAACCTAAAATACAGTCATGGTGTTTTAGTTTCATTTTTTCTCATCAGACACTTTGTAATGGAATTTTGTGCTACAGCTAAGAGCAAAAGTTCAAAACTTAGGACTTGACATTAAATGACTGGGACTATCATTATTAAGTACCAGAAGAGTTTGTTGGTTTTAAATAAATGTCTAGCATTAATTATGTTTGGTATTAACTGGCCAAGGGGATAGATTAACATTAGACTTTAAATTTGATTCCTTACTAAAAATAGGAGTCACAGTCCAGTATCTTTCTAATAGGATTGCTTTGAAGAGATCACTTGGTTAAAGTATCTTGTTTCCTTCTTTTACTTGTCCTAAATTGTTGGTTCTCTGTTGGATCACTTCCAGCCAGAAGTATCACATCTGATCTCCACAAGGATTATCACTGCAGTGGTATTTTCTACTTGTGCATTGTAAACTCCAAGTGGGACATCAAAGGAGGTAGGCACTTTTCCTCCTTTGTGATATGTAATGAATATGATTATTGGGATGTTTCCTCTAATTTTTTTAATATTTGAAATAACACAAATTGCAATTTTTAATGCTGTTGTTTGTGGTGGTCTCCTCCTGGTTCCATACCCACTCCCAGCATATACATGTTGGATCAGAATCGCCCAGGGGCAGTTTTAGTCTATGGCCTTCAGTGGCTGTGTTAGAGAAATCTTCTCCAGGCCAAGTACAGAGTGTTTTGGATACCTTTCTGCCACCTACACTCTTTTAATTGGGTTAATCTCATTTTGCACAAGGCCAGACTGTCAAGTATAGAACATTTTGTTTTGTTCTGTGGTTTTCATCGGAGTAGCTGTACAGAAATGTAGGTACTTCTGTGAACCTTTGAAATCAGTTTGGGAAACAAACAAACCAACCATCCAACATCTTCTATACAGTTATTTGGTTCCATTCCAGTAAATCTCTTTGAAGTCCCAAACTTACATACCTGCCTGTACTGGCCCATTTCTTCAAATACCTAAAGGGAGCCTATAGAAATTACTGATTCAGACGCTTCTTGAGGGTGCACATGGAGAGGCAATGGACACCAGTTGCAATATGGGAAAATCTAAACAGATACAGGGAAATTTTTTCTCCATGAGCTGGGCCAAGCATTCGAACAAGTTGCCTAGAGAGCATGTTTAATTTCCATCCTTGGAGGTACTTAAGACTGAACAGCTCCCAGTGCCATTTTATCTAGTTGTATCTGCTTTGAGCAGGAGATGGGCTACATGGCTTCCAGAAGTCCCTTGAAACCTAAACTATTCAATGTTTCTACTTTTTTTGGACACCCATTCCTGAACTTCAATTCAAGATCTAAACAGATATCAAACATTCTTTCCCTTTTTAGAAAGACAGGTGTGGGAACACAGCTATAGATTCTACTCCAGCACATAGAAATTTGTGCCAGGATAGAGTGAAAACAAGGTAACTCTTTCCTCTGATTATCATGCCTCTTAGCTGTATCAGAACATCCCCCAGTGGTTAGATGTTCCCTGCATAAGGAACAGAAAAGCCTGGTCCAAAGCAAGAAAAGTTATTTTTTCAGAACATAATGGTCAGTCTCATGAGCCCAGGTAGCACTGAACACTC